ACACACGTAACCTAAACATCTGTACCCCCATAATATGCTGAAATAAAAAAAAAAAATTAAAAAAAAAAAAGTAGAGAATGATAGATGGCCCTTTATGTGCCCACCACTTAGCTTTAAATAAGCATTTTGCCATTCTTGTTTTATTATAAATTTTTAATCCAAGAAATCTATCTCAAAAGGCTATTATTAAACTAAAAACAGAAAAATCTAATGGCAAATCAACAGTCGTTCTCTCCCAGCATGGTTAAGAACGGTCTTGTCGCGTTTCATAAAGGAGAAGTCAGCTCACTGGCAGCCAGTCAAGAGACCAATCACAGCCACGAAAGACTTCACACAGGTCAGAGAGCTGCAGTCTTTTTACTTTTAGTACAACTTAAAATTTCTCTAGCTAATGAAAAATCCTATACTTATTATGATCTCAGTAACATTCATTACCGACATTAAACTTTATTTTACTTAAAATTAAACATTTATAATTGAGTCTTCCTTTACTCAAAAAGAAAAAAGAAAAAATCAGATGTAAATTGCCATGGGTGAACAGGCGAGACAGCAAATACTTCTTTACCCCAAAGCATACTGATTTCTCTTATGTTTTCCTCATGTATTTTATATAAAGCTAATTTAAAATCTGTTTAAAGTGGTTTGTATATTTCCCCTTAATTTGGAATCATAATGTTTCCAATGGCACTCCACAAAATTCCTCTAGCATTAAACTCCTACGTGGCAGAGGGAATGGCCTTTGCTAGACCTCACCGGGTTGCTGTGAGGACTGCAAGAGTCAGGTCCGCACAAAGCAGAGAACAGACTGGGCAGGGTCAGGCCACTCCGCACAGGTGGCACGCACACAGACGCAGACCCAAGGAAACATAGCAACGGGAGTTACATTGAGTTCAAAAAGCTCAGGAATATAAAAAAATTATACTCCTTTCTTATCTTTCAGTTTTCAACAGTGCTTTATGAACTATACCCAAATATGTTTCCTTCTGCAAAATACAACTCTTTAACTTTTATTTCTCAAGGATTACCATTAGCTTACTTAGCAATATTCCTTTCTGTGTTAAAGCAGAGGAAAAGCCATGGTCCACTAAAAACTCTATAAGAAATCAAGTTTTCTTTAGACTCACATTACATGATCATTTTATGTTTCTAACACTAAAAAATTTACTAAGACGCTGCATGAAAGAGAAGTCATGTCTCTGGCATCTCATCAAAGTAACTGCCAACCAGCCACTGGCTTGGGAAAGGGTGCGTGCACTGCGATGGTGGCCAGCAGCCAGGAGCTCCGCCGGGAGGGCCTCCTCCCATGCTCACTCCAGTTGGTCCTCTATGTAGCCATTCCCCAACTCTTCACTCCCAACTTCACTGTTACATTTGGTGTTCTTTCCTCACAACCTGTGTCCTGAGCATCTAAAAATGGGTCTTTCTTCACATTCCAGGATGACTATTCATCTAATTTTCTTTCCCCAAGTCACAACAAGTTATCATGAGCAATTTCCTCCTTTGTAAACTACATCCTGACTTAGTAAGCACCCTAAGCCATACTTTCATGAAGAGAAAAAAGCTACCATCGGCTTCCTTTCTCTTCTTTGTGCAAGTAAGTACTTGTACATATATATTTCTGTACATTTGTGCACAGCAGATAATACAAGTGACCAGGGTAGTATTTTAAAGCACACATCTTTCTAGACAAGCAGAGTCATGAGTCTTGAAAATTAACAAGTTTTTCAAAAGTACTCATCAAGCATAATATCTGGATTCAGCAATTCGGTAATGAGCAAATGCCAAACCAGATTACAGGAACGATGGCGGGAAACTCAAATCATCTTCTGGTTGTTTAATGCTCTGTTAATAGAGGCGTATGTACCTTTCCAGACACATCTATACTCACATATCCCCTAGATTTGAATTTAAATAACAAAATCTCTCAAACTTACCAAACTTCGATACTGGCCCTGGAACAATTTTGAAGTCCGACTGTGTAAAGGTTGTGATCCCAGGGAGTCAAAAGACTTTATTCGATGAGATGAGGGCCGAGTGCATACAGAATCACTTCCTAGTCCAATGTCTGAAAAGGTCACACACACAGAGAGAGCTGAAACGCCTGATACTTACTATGCACTCACACCACACGCTAGACTTTAAAACTAGGGCAGCATGGAGGGACACACCAAGAGACCACAACAAAGCAGGCCATTTATGCAGTAAACAAAGAACAAATTCTCTGTCTGCTACATAAATAACTTGCATTCATTTCCCCGATTACCTTTCCAGAAATTATCTGGAGATAACTATTAATCCATTCTTCTCTAGTATGATTTTTCAAAGTGTTTAAAATGTTTTATAAATGTTTTTAATACTTTCCCTTTACCTGAAAAAAACCAGCCTCTCAAATTTGATTACATAGCACAGAACAAGTACTCACTCTCCAATGCATCACCACCATATGCCCACTTTTCCAAGACTATGTGTCATGCAGTAAGCAACAAGAATTATTTTGCAACAAAAAGACAAGACTCTTATTCAAAACCACTAGAAAATCCTTGTGTATTTTTCAGCCAGAGAGAACCTTCTGAGGATTATTTCCTCAAAGTGAAGGCAGCACAGGCTCTACTCACCTCATGAAGCTGTTGAGAGATCAAAGGAAACAAGACATTAAAAGGCTTATTTCCATCCTCTGATTCCCTTCATGATAAGACACTCCACTTAGGCCAACCAACAAGTAAATGACAGCAACCCCATTCTTAGAAGTGATTGATTTTTTAAAAAAACAAAAACCAAAAGTTAGACTGTGAAAAAGTTTTCTAAAGAAACTGCTGTTCCAAGATACTCAGCAATGTCCTACAGCTCACAGGAGCCTTCTGTGAAAGCACCTCTAACCTGACAGTCTCCAGGTCCTATTTTTCTGGCAGATCTGTTTGGATTGGCTTACACAGTGTCTTATAAAATTTTGAATTAATTGCCAACATCTGAAAGTCTGAAGATATCACAGAAAAATTCAGATGTCCAGGTGCTCTTGATACACTTAGGATGCAGCAACCTCAGGTCTATAGTGCTTCGTGGCACAGCTGGCTCAGAGCTGAGCAAGGGCTGCACCAAGGGGACCCACTGTCCTCACCCTTCAGTCCAGGTCCTTCCTGTGTGCCTCCCCACCTGGCTCCACAGACAGCAGCACGTGGGAGCCCTATCCTACAACAACCTTGCTATCCCAGCAGTCTTGAATACCCCCAGGTCACCCGCAGCACCCTACACTTTCGAGGTCCTGCTCAGGGCTGCGAGTGTCTCCACAGAGCATGTCCTACTTGAGAACACAGGGCCTTATACAACCCCAAGCCCAAAACCAGCTATGAAGGACACTGTCTGCAGATGCTGCCCACAGGAGCCCCCCACGTTGCGCCACAGTGCTCTGCTGGCCCTGGCATTAAGGAATCCTGAGGACATCCCCATCGCCAGGCCTGTCTTCGTCCAGTTAAACGTATCTATTAATAAGTGCCTTGGAACACACATGGTTTTCTTTAAGTGATAGTAGCAAAGGGAAGATAAGCACAGGATTTTCCCAAGAATGCCTACAGCAACTCTGGCAGCAGCCAGTCTTACTGCTGAAGTCAACCAGGTAAAATAGAAACCTAAGAAGGAATGGTCATTTCCATCACAATGACTCCTAAAACAAGATCAGGAACAAGCAAGCAAGCAACCAACAGAAAAGCAAAATTTCCTTCTGAGAGGGGTCACTCATGGTGTTCAAGTTTATCTCACAGCTTCTAAATTGGTCTTGTAAAGAACAATGTCACTTATATTACATCCAATGCACAGCCAACGATATCAAGAATATATGAGAAATACTTTTCATAAGGTGCAGGTAAAAAAAAAAAAAAAAAAAAAAAAAAACAATGGATGGTGACGCATGCCCCAAGAGCTACTGCCCCCCCTTCCATCGCTACTATTTACTTGTAAATCACAGCACTTCAATTCCTGACTACTAAGGACCATGGGACTGAGTGTATGGATTAAAGCCCTTCTCCTGTTAGCTTCTTCCTGTTAGCTCTCTGCTTAAACTGCAGGCGGAGAAAGCACCTATGGTGAAGCTCAAAATCAAGCACCCTCTGTAGAAATATTCAGCAGAGCAGAGGGGCCACATTAGGGATGACTTGCAGCTTTTATTTATCTGTGCCGTTCTTGTCCCTGTCTGCCACAGAGACCTGTATTGATTAGATGATTCATCACTCAAAACTTTGAGGCAGAGATGAATACAAGCAGCTTAAAGACAGACACCCACACAGCGAGGAAACACAAACATGCCACCCTCTGTGCATGCTCTCGCAACAGCATTTCTTGTACTACACTCCAGTGTAGCATATTTCCCTTTCTATATCACCCATAATTATAATAGTTTTCTTCCTTATTATCTGTTTATTCATATTTTTATAATATAGGGCTAGAGAAGGCAGCTTTGTGTAATTCATCACTTTTATAAAACACCACACTCATTTGCAAAAACATCATTAAATGATGTAACAATTTTAATTATTTATATTCATCTTTATATTCCTGTCCTCTAAATATTTGTGTCCTAGATGCTTTCATATGAACAGCTGTAAGAGATGTGCAACTTTAAACTACAGCAGTCAAGCTATGAAAATGCGACTGCATCAAACCTCTGCCTGAGGTCTCCGCCAGCTCCCAGCTGTGGCAGCCAGCACTCCTCACCCAGGGCACCAGCAGTGGGCCGGTTCCCAGACAGTGGTCACAGCAGGCGTGTGCAGGGAGATGGTGCCAAGGAAGGTCCCTGCACCGGAGGACGCCTCCCAGAGACAGGAACTTTAGCCCAAAGGGCTCACAACTCCAGCCCTTCCCCTCCACATGCAGGGAGGTAAGTACACCCTGTCTGAAGGGCCAGACGAGACAGAGAAGAAACCTTGACAAATTAAACTTAAGAGGTTTCTATACGAAAGGGACATCTCACTTTCCCCCACAATTCTGAAACTTAAAATCTGTAAAGATAATTTAAAAAAAAAAAAAGTTACTTTAAATAAAAGAGCAACTCAAGTGCCCTCTTGTTTGAGCCATGTAGTGGTCCAAGACATAAGTCCTCAGGGCTCAAGGGATGGTGTGGGTCTTCTCTCTGGGACTTCATACAGACAATTCCTATCCTCACCATGGTCTGAGAGCCCACGAGAAGGGCACACCGTTTCCCTACCTCCTCTCCACTTCAGGAACAACTGGGACTAGGCCACACGAACCACATGCCTAGGCACACAGGGGTTCACTGTGGATGCCAATCCACTGGCCACACCCTTGTGATAGCCACTGCTCAGAAACACACTGCTCAGCAGATACGAGCTTTAGGCAACATGAACCCATAAAAACCCAGAGAAAAGTGCTGTTAGCTCCAAGACAGCCCACCAGCCTTCCTATACTGACTAACGTTTTTCCTCTACCTTCAGGTGAGAAACGTCCCCACCCACAGAAAGGAAAACACCTGATAGCCACCAGAGGACCTAAAGAGGAAGATTCTGTTCTAGTAAGGAAGAAAAAAATTACAGCAAAAGGAACAATCAAAAACATAATGCAACAGAAGCCTATTTTTTGTTTATTTTTTTAGAAGCTTATTTTTTATAGTTAATCATGTTCATTTGGCCTTGCTAACAGAAAACCAGTGGTTTCTGCCCTTTTTTCTTCCCACCCCCTCAAGTTCAACAAAAAAAGAGTCTTACCTGCTGTAACTTTATTTAGAGTCACTAAGGAAGTGAGGACCTTGTTAAAATTCTGCCCCTGGTACAAATCATTTGCATCAAAAGTCTGAAAGGAAAAATTAAACAAGCAAAATTAGTAGAGTCTTATATTGGGTGCAGGATGAACTAAGCTCTCCCCATAAAGTGAGAACATTCTGTCTGAAATCATAAAGAGGTGGCACCACCCTCAAGAGTGAGATCAGTGAGCTCAGCTCCCGGGTCCTGGGGTAAGGAGTCCAATCAGAAGTCCCCTTCTCAGGCACAGTCAATCCCTGGGCCCTAGCCCTGCCCCACCCCAACTTCACACCCTGGGGTGTGAGCTCCGTCACAGATGAGTGCTGTTGGTGCTATGAAATCTCAGTGGTGGTTTTGCGACCCTTAGATTAATGCAGCGGCCACAGCACAAGGCAGACTACAGAGGTTCCCTCCTAGTCACAGAAAAGAAGGCAACCTGACAGTCAATTCCAAAGCTAACTACAGCAAAAGAAAAACATGGCCATCCTGGAGCACAATGGATATGAGAGTAAAAGGAACGCAGGCAGGAGAAGCAGATCCCAGAAGAGAAGCAAGGTGAGGATGGGGCAGCCACCTCCAGCACAGAGCTGAGGCCAGGACCAGGCCCATCTGAGACCACATCCCCTCGAGTCCGGGACAGCTAGAGCCCCGGGACCATGCCAGAGTCAGTCACACTACCCATCCTGGCTGGGAAAGATAGAGTGTACTAGCTTGCCTCAATACACAACAGCACACACACAGATGTGTCGAAAAACACACAGCTCTCATCTCTGATACTGTCTTAAGACTACATATAGCTTAGCTTCTGATCACCAAATAACTTCGAGCAAAAATAAATTTAATAATCAAATCATCCACAACTATGTCCCAGAAAAATTGGGAAAACATTTCTTTCAGAAGCACAAATAACAGAAAGTCATATTTAGACAGCAAAATGTCTATCATGTTAACATACTTTCTCTGAGGTCACCCCAGGAATGAGGATCAGAAGGCAAGGGCCCTGCTTCTCTCCAGTTCTGTCACCTCTGCCCTCATCCTGTGCTCCTCACACCAGAGGCTGCCAGGAACTCCCTTCTCCTTCTCTTCCTGCCCCCAGCCCCTACCCCCTTCCTGGCTAACGCTTACTCATCTCACTTTCTGATAGAACCATGCGCAGCCTTGCTGCCCCCTCCAGACCTTCTCAGGTCCCCAACCAGGCTCCCCCAGAACATTTATCACAATACTTCACTGGCTGATGTCTGTACACCTCCCTAGACTGAAAGACATACAAAGGGCAGACTGTACATTTCCCAACACCTAGTAAGATGTAGCGCACAGAAAAAACTCAAAGGTATGAATGGATAAATGCACCAAACCATCTAACCATCCACTCTGTGGGTGCTTAATGTTACTGTGAGTGAAGTTCACATCAAGAGATGCTACGTAAAATGACTCCAAATCTGAATAAGTCCCATGTATTATTCAAAAGTCACCTCTACTTAATGGTCTTCTGCCTACAATTTTTGAAATAATGAATAAAAATAGTCATGAGATATATTTAAACATAAATAAACCAAAAAAAATCCACAAGTTCAAAAACTACCTCAAGAAGGAAAATCACCAAATCACTGAGAGTCAAGAAAGGAGCTAAAAATTACAATTCACATTTTAAAAGTTCACAAGAAAATATTAAATGAAAACATAAAACTTAAAAAGATGTGAATACATGTGAGCATTCTACATGTTTATTAACGCCACTTCTAATATAAAGTACAAAATGTAAATGATTTCATGAAGCAAGATCCTTTCCTGTAAAAAATACTCCTTAGACCAGTCTTTAGAACCATCTTTAACACAGAATTTAAATCATTTGTTGTAATAAATATTATTTAAAAAGAAATTCCAACTCAAATGAGAGCATTATCCAGGGTGACATATCCATCTACATCTTTAAATGATGAAAATGAGTTCAGCTGCATTTAAAAAAAAAAATAAAAGTATTAACATTAATGTACAAAGCTTCCTTAATCAAAATATAAAACTTCCCTTAACTGTAAAATATTTAAGTAGGTGATCTGAACGTCTTTTAAGCTCTAAAGATCTAATTCTAGAGGTTGGAGTTAGATGGTATTCTCCAAAAAGAAATACATATATAAATTTCTACTAACCTTCATTGTGGCAAGGCAGTGAGTCGCAACACCCAGAATAACAGGATGTTAAAAACGAAGTTTCCTGTTATTCCAGAACTATATATCTTTCTTACTTGGATACCAGGAAGCACCTGATTGGATGAAAGTGCCCACCAATGGGGCTTCAATATGACATCAGAACTTAAGTGAATACACAACCCCCACATTTCTCAACAGGAAACTCAACAATGCGAAGAGACAAATGCTTGCCACTGAGAGGGGAAAATGCACATTCTAAGCCAATAAAATGTTTTGACTCAAGTACTTCTCCAGAGAAAGATAGCAGACTACTTCCTGAAATAGGAATCAAAGCAAAAACAGAAAAATCTTAATATAAAGAAAGTTTATACTACAGGAGTAAGAGGAAAGTCTCAGAACTTTTATAGAAATCTCTCTGCAAAAAATAATTACTGTAACATTTAACACACTAAATTGTTCCCCAGGGCTACCTGGTGCTTCAGAGGAGATAAATGCAGTTTCAACAGGGCCCGGCCTACTCTCCCGCCTAAAATGCTGGGCATTCTGAAAATCAGCAGATTTCCCCTCATAGCAAGAGCGAGAAGAAGAAAGCAAGCAACAACCACCATCCACTGTCCCCTACCTTCAGGTGGCACCTGGAGCAGTGGTTTTCAGTATGAGCTGCACGTTAGGACCTCCTGGGGGACTTTACCTGGGCAAGATACTCAAGCCATGTCTCAGAATCTCTAAGGGAGGGACCCAAAAACCAGAATTCTAACCCCATCCACACAAGTCCAACGTTCAGCAGAGGGTGAGAAGTGCCTCCCTGTCTCTGTTGAGTCCTGCCCGGGGGCAGGCTCCGCGCCAGCACATACACACTTCCCACTGCCTGTGAACACCCCCATACTGGCACTGTGCTGTGAGAGAGGGTGGCCACACGGACACAGGGGATGCTCAACACCTGACGCATTTTAGAATCTATCCATTTGGGAAAGCGTATTACACTCAACCTTACTTTTACATTTAAGTGAATTAAATGTGCAATAGGATATTCTCACAGTCCCAAAATAAAATTATCTTAGTAGTTTTCTACTAAAAAGCTCATAATATTAAACTTACTATTTATAGCTTAGTTTTCACATTTTACTTTCACTAACAATACCACATAATGAAATACAACAAATATCAAACTACATAGAAGCCAGGGATAGAAGAAACCCAGACAGAGCATTCAAAGTAAGACACAAAAGTACTCTCTAAAATGTTCCTACTGCCCCTTGCAAGGAGAGGCAGGTAAGGCAGAACCAACAGAGAATGGCCGCTGGGGGCAGGAGGCAGTGGGCAGCATGGTCCTGGGAGGTGGGCAGAGTTCCTGAGGGTGAGCTCTCCCCACTGCCTCACAGCCCCCCTGCACATTGTGCTGAGCCCGCAACCCTCTCTACGTGAAACAGGAACAAGTCAGACAGTGAAGACGGTGTGACACAGGAAGCAAACCTACAAACGCCTCACACCTTCCAAAAAGTAAAGGGCACCATGCCTCCAGGGTCTCCTGTTAAAACTGGCCCACGGAAAACTACATCCTGCCAAGGAAAACTCTTATTTTTTAAAATACAAAATAATCACCAAGAGGAAAAAAAGCCCTCAATTTTGCTGAACAGAGAGAAAAATCATCTATGTCCACACAGGTTAAGCCTCTCGCTTTTTTTTTTTATTTATTTTATTTTTATTATTTTTGAGACAGAGTCTCACTCTGTTGCCCCGGCTAGAGTGATGTGGTGTCAGCCTAGCTCACAGCAACCTCCAACTCCTGGGCTCAAGCAATCCTCCTGCCTCAGCCTCTTGAGTAGCTAGGACTACAGGCATGCACCACTATGCCCAGATAATTTTTTCTACATATTTTTAGTTGTCCAGCCAATTTCTTTCTATTTTTAGTAGAGACGGGGTCTCACTCTTGCTCAGGTTGGTCTCTAACTCCTGACCTCAAGCGATCCTCCCACCTCGGCCTCCCAGAGTGCTGGGATTACAGGTGTGAGCCACGGGACCGGGCCAATCCTCTCACATTTTAGACATAAAAATGAAGCCCAAAAGTACAATGGCTTTTTCAAGTCTCTTCTAAATTACTAAGACTGAGATTCTTGACTGTTAATCCTATGAATAAAAAATTAAAGTACACCTGTTAGACTCCATGTCTTTTGCACAGCTTTGCAGAAACTGCTTCTTAGGAACCTGAACTACACCTGGTATTGTTTAGGAAAAATATCTTGCCTTCTAGAAATGAAATATACAGCCCATATATCATGCAATTTGGGTATAAAATAAACAGAGAAAGGCTAGCAGAAGGTTACAGACTATAGAAGAAAGAAGTGAGACACAGGGAAACTATCAGAGAAAGATTTCTGCTGTGGTCAGAGGCCATGAGCCATGTAGAAAGGATCTGGACCACAGGGACCAGGTGAGAGAGGGAGACCTGGATGCCCAATGGCAGACAGATCGGCCAGACCAATAAGCCCAAGAATCTGGTTCTAGGCCTAAAAGACCATGGCATCCATGAGGACTAAGGGCATCACTTCTTGATTGACCTTCGAGCATCATTAATATTTACAACTATGGGAAATCCCTACCCTGACCAGAGCATGAAAAAATGTCTTCAGACTCTCACTGCAGTTCTCCTTATTGTGTCTTCACTGAACAAGCAGCTATGAAAGCCACTAAGTCCCACCCACAGATCTGGGACATGGAAAACAAGGCTGTTCTCAATTAAAAGAGATTTAAATAACAAAACCACCAAGTGCAATGAGTGGCCCTGGGCTGGACCTTGTTTTGGATAAACCATCTACAATGGACATTTAAGAACAACGGGGGAAATGTGAATACAGGCAAGGTATTCGATGATGTTGAGGAATCATAACTAAAATTGTTAGATATG